GCTGAGAGTTCCATGGACTGCTAAAAGATCTAACAAATCTGTCGTAGAGGAAGTGCAGCTGGAATGCTCCTTGGAATTAGAATGTCCAGACTTCGTCTCACCTACTTTGGTCATGTTATCAGAAGGGATCATTCCCTGGAGAAGGATGTCATACTTGGTAAGGTGGAGTGTCGATGAAGGAGAGGAAGGCCCTCAAGGAGATTGATTGACATAGTGGCTGTGGTGATGGGCTGAAGTATAGCAGGGGTCCTGGAGCTGGCACACTCGATGGCAACTAAGAACAACAACATAGGGTTTCCAAGACTATAAATCTTTATGGAAGTAGACTGCCACATCTTTCTCCCATAGAACAGTGGATGGGTGGAAACCACTGACCTTTCAGTTGGCAGGTGAGCACTTAACCACTATGCCACTAGGGCACCTTCAATGTAATTCAAAATGCATAACACATAGTTAAATATTTTCTAGGATATTTTCTTGTTTGAGAGCTGTTAAATTTAAATAGGTGAAAATATAAATAAATGCTAGATTTTTATAGCAGCCTTAAATTTTCCTTAAGAAAACTGATACAAGAATTAGTATCTCTTGTATAATTATTGTCTGAACAGGAGATTTTTTGTTTTGAATTTAGAATATCTCACTTTTTTTAGATTTTGTAGGAAGATGTGTTTTCTTCATCTTGAAATTTCTAAAGCAAGTATTTTTATATAATCATGATCTTTCTATTAGATTAAATAGTTGTTCTAGTCTTATGCTTAAATTAGTCACTTTCTGGTTACTAGTTTTTTGTTTGTTTTTAATCAGTGATACTGGATTATACCTGGGTTAGAACTTAAAGAAACAGAACATGATCTGTAAAAACATAGGATGCCTGTTTTATTAAATGTTCTCTAAGAGACTGTAAGGCATAGCTATAATTAATGCATTTATTTTATAGCCGTTAAATCTAAATGTGCTAACTGAAAGATTAAGGTTCAGGTCTATCCAGAGTTGCTTTGGAGAGGAAAGCCTGGCAGTCTAATTCCAAAAACTTAGCCACTGAAAATCTGATGGAGCACAGCTCTATTCTGACAAACATGGGGTCACCGTGAGTTGAAATCAAACTGGATAGCAACTGTAAAAGAAATAAAAAATCTAAATGTGGCACCATTCAGAAGAAAGGAAAACAATCCACGTTAAGAAAAAAAATCTTAATGTAGCACCAATCAGAAGGGAAAATAATCCATGGTAAAGTTTTATTTCCTCTACTTTTAAACCATTTTTTTAAAATTATTAAAGAATTACTTATTCAACAATTGTAGGTTCTCTTTTATTTCTACTTTTCATTTATTTGTCTCTATTTAGTTATTAATTTTTAGTCACCTCAGAGCTTAGATAATGTTACCAGTTTTTTTTTTCTTGACACATTGCATTCAGTAACATTCTTTGTTTCTTGTTTTTTGCTGAGCTTTTGTTTGAAGATGGTTGTTATTGTCAGCTACCTTGGAGTTGCCGAAACTCATAGTGACCCCATATACACCAGAGAGAAATGCTGCCTGTTTCGGCACCATCCACATGGTTGGTTGTGGATGAGATCATTGTGACCCAATTGGAGTTTGGTTGACTGATTTTCAAAGTATACTGCTAGCCTTTCTTTGTGGTTTATCATAGTCTGGAAGTACCACTGGGTTGGATTGGTATCATAGCAACATTTAATCCACTACTGACAAACTAGTGGTTGCTGTATTTGAGGTGCGTTGGCCAGGAATCAAAGCCAGGTCTCCTGCATGGAAGGGGAGAATTCTGCCACTGAAACACTAATGTCTCCCCTTTTTCCTCTTGTTGTTGTTGTTGTTATGTGCCGTCGAGTCGACCCCGACTAGAGTAGTGAAAAAATGAAATGGGAAGTCAAGAAAGTTTTTTTTTTTTTTAATTTGTGGTCCTTAAGTGTGTATCTGTGTGTGTGTTACATGGAAATTTTTCTAGTTTGTATACTGTAGGATTCAGTAGAGGGGGAGAAATTTTTGAAATAGGAGAGAAAGTATATTTGCTGGTCCAGTGTCCTCAACAGGCAAAGGTGTTGGAGGTTCCAAAGTGAAACAGTTAGCCATAATTATTTTAGAGACTTCTGAATAAAAGTTTCTCAGTCTTAGCACTGTTGACATTTAGGGCCAGATAATTATTTGTTTTGGGGACTGTCCTTTGTGTTATAGATGATTAGCAACATCCGTGGCCTCTGCCACTGTCTGCCACCCTCAGTCCTTGCAGTTGTGAACTGAAATTATCTCTAGACATTGCCAGATGTCCTCTGGGGGCAAAATTACTTCTGATTGATAGCCACTGGTCTTAGATGAGGTTATCTGGTAAAAGTGGGGAGAATCACGTTGGGGATTAGAGGCCAGAGTGTTTATTTTAGTTACATATGGCTGTACTTGCTGCTGTAACAGAAATACCACAAGTGGTTGACTTTAACAAACAAGTTTATTTTCACAGTTTCAAAAAACAAAACCAAACTCACTGCCATTGAGTTGATTCCGACTTGTAACAACCCATTTTAGGTTTCTGAGGCAGTAAATCTTTATGGAAGTAGATTGCCCAGTCTTCTTTCTGCAGAGTGGTTAGTGGGTTTGAACCACCAACCTAGAAATCCAAATTGGGGATGCTGGCTCTAGGGAAAGACTTTTTCTCTCTGCCTTGTCTCTGATCTTCAATGCCTGGATAATCTTTATGTGGCTTGGCATCACTCTTCCCTCATCTCTGTTTCTCTCACTTGCTTGTTTAATCTCTTATATAAAAACCGAAACCAAACCAAACTCACTGCCGTCGAGTAGGATCCAACTCAGTGACCCCTTATTGGGTTTTCGAGGTGGTATCACTATGGAAGTAGATTGCCATAGATTGCCCAACTTTCCTTTTGAGGAATGGCTGGTGGGTTTGAACCGCCAGCCTTCTGGTTAGCAGTCCAAGGCCGTAGACACTACACCAAAGGAGCTCTTAAATCAAAAGAGATCGATTTAGGACACACCCTACACTAATCCTGTCTTATTAACATAACAAAGAAAACCCATTTCAGAATTGAATTATAATCATAGGCATGTTTTTAGGTTAGGTGCCCTAGAGTCAACTGAACTCATAGTAACCCTGTGTACAACGGAACAAAATACTGCCTGGTTATGCCCTATCCTCACAATCCTTGCTATACTTGAGCCTATTCTTGCAGCCACTTTGTCAATTCATCTTGTTGAGGGTCTTCCCCTTTTTCGCTGACCCTCTACTCTACAGTGCTTCAGGGCTCTTCATAAAGTTTTCCAGTAATATATCACACACAATAATATAACCCCAGTAATATAACCTCAGTCATAGAGGTTAGGATTAACAACACATGTTTTGGAGGACACAATTCAATCCATAACAGTTTCAAAAAGTCATCTAGATAAATGGGGAAGGTAATTTATATATGAGTCCCACTACATCTTTATTCTATGGATTTCATATCCTTTTCCTTCTGAATATTCTCCTTTAATATTCTTATCCTATTTAATATTAATATTTATTCTTGATTGTCTCACATTCCTTTGGGTCTTAACTGACTCTGAAGTGCCTTTGGGTTTCTACTTTAGGAAGCAGTTGTTTATAAGACATATCAAGGGCATAGCAGTTCTCTATGTAGAAAGAGGGTTTCATAAACTAAGCTTTCTTGACAGTACATCAAAAAGCTTGGAGTCAAGACTGAATAAAAGCCAAGTACACTAATAGTACTTGAGTGATGTTGTATATTTTACACATATTTGTGGCTTTAAAATAGTAACAGTAATAGTCTCTCATTGCCACTAGGTTTGGGTAAACAAAAGAACTTTGTAGAGTAAAAGATGCTAAATTTCAATGATTCATTGGCTTTCAATTACTTCCAGACTTTCTTTTTTTTTTTTTTTTCCCTGAGGTTGAAGTCTTGTCCAATTTTAAAGTTTAAATGACTCTTGTTTGGGACATTACTGCCTCTTGGGGTTTTCATAGAAATTGGTGGAATTTTCATAATGAATAAAAGGATCTCCTGTTAATACATTGTTTTTAATTTAGTAATCTTCAACATTTTTCTTAAACTTCTATATTGATGCATAAACAGTTGATAAAGAAACAACTCATAAAAGCTAAAGCTTTATGCACATATTCATTTTGATACCTGGATTGTTGATGAAAAAATTTCCAAGTACTGCATCTCCCTCTTTCCCAAGCTTTTCCCCATTCCCATGTAGTAAGCACGATTTACATTTTCCTGTATATGTGTGGGATGGATGTTTCTTTTATTAATATTTTTAGACAGAGATTGCATTCTCTTGTAACTATTGGTTTGCATCTTGTTCTGTTTTACATTCAAAGGTGCTTCATGGATATCCATCTATGCCAGTTCGTACAGATCTGTCTCATTTCACACTAATACATTTTACTATTTTTTCCCATGGGCATTTAGATTGTCTCCAGGTTTTCTTTCCTTTCTCTCTTTTAAAATTATTTTAAATACCACTAAACTGAATATTGTTGGGTCAGGGGCTTGAGTGATTCACAAGTCCCTCAAATATTTGTCCTTCCCCCATGTCACTCTACCTTCTTTCTCTTCCTTTGTAAAAGTGCTATTGAATCTATATATAGTTTCTTATTTTCAAAATTCAAAAAAGTTTTTCAAAACCTTCATCTATGTTTCTCTTTCTCCTCCAACCTACTGTTTTGTCTCCTTTCCTCTACAACTTCTGTTTTCATTCATGTCTCAGTTAGTCATTTTTGAGAAACCATCCCTGATCACGAGTATAAGTTAGGTGCCTTCTTTATATATGTGGCCCCAGAACTGTATTACCTTATCTCAGTACTTAACTGTTGAAAATTGTCTGTTTATCTGGCTTTCACTTCTTGAAGTCATGGAACATACTTTGTTTTAGTTGATTATATATATTACATATAAAAATCTAACTATAATTGTTAAACAGATAGATGTTTCATTATTTTTACTGTTTTTCTTTTTATTCCAGGACTGGGCTAATGCTAATGTCAGCAGACAGATTGAGGACACTGTATTATATGGCTACTATAGTAAGTATCTTTCATTTTCATTTTCTATGTAAACTGCAACCCAAAGTGTAGAATAAAGCTATGTCTAATATTTTGATTTTGACATCACATAAAAGATTTTTTTTCCCTGTACCAGGAATAAGTAATGTAACGGTCATTCTCATAATTCTGAAACTTCTTTAACCAACTTTACTTCATTTAGGTTCATCTGTACTACATTTTTTTGGTGGTACAGTCAAGTTACTTTAAACTTCAGATCTCTTCCTTTGTAGAATTTCCTACATTTAAGCTTTTTATTTAAAATTTCAGTTTTCTAGAAATTTTTTCTAGGTGTTGACAGTAGTAGTGTGCAATATATTGGGAAATTTGTAGAATCAACTTCACAAACCTCTCTCCCACTTCATCCTACACGTGCACATGCAGCGTGTTATGTGAAATCACAGACTTAGGCCCTAGTTCCCAAATATGGCTGTGTCAAAATCAGAATGAACACCATTAACGTAAGACTCCCAGGCTGCATTTCACACCAAAGTGAATCAGAATCTCTCTGGATAGACTCTAAGATTTTGTATTAACAAAATTGTCCTCTAACAGCTGGTTTAATCGGGGGTATATGACTGGTTTATCCCTCCCTCCCTTTCTTCCCTTCTTCTCCAATGTTAGATTATAAAACTTCATAACAACTGCATAAATATTTCCAAAGTTTCCTTCTTGAGTGAATATGAGACTACTGCTTTCATAAAAATTTGTAAGTACTGAGTAGGAAAAGGGATGCCATTTTCTTTTTTTAGCAAAAAAGTAAGATATTATATAAGCTTTCTCCTGGACATTACATTGAAAACTGAAAAAAAAATCTATAGAAGTTTCTGTGGATGGAATAATTTTCAAGGATTTAATTGGATTTTAATTTAGGTCCTGTGGGTCTAATGTTTGCCTTTTTCCTTATCTAAAACATTGAAGACCCATGAACTTCAGTTGTAGATTTAGAAGTAGATTTTAGAAAGTTGTAGATTTTAGAAAGATTTTTATGATATTTTCTTGAATGCCATTTAATAAATGATTCTGGGGATGTTACCAATGAGCATAGTTAATTGCATTGGGTTCCCAAGGCAGCTTCATAAACGTTTAAAAAAAAAAACCAAAAAACTCACTGCCATTGAGTTGATTCCGACTCATAGTAACCCCCATTTGGTTTCCAAGGTTTTAAATCTTTACAAAAGTTGACTGCTTCATCTTTCTTCTGCAGAGTAGCTGGTGGGTTCAAACCACCAACCATTTGGTTAGCAGCTAAATGCCTTAAGCACTATATCCTCAGAGCTCCTCATAAGCCAGCTGGAGACCTTTTAAATAATACAAAATCTTAGAGTATGTCCAAAGAGATTCTGATTCAGTTTGGTGTGAAATGTACTGGGAGTCTTACATTAATGTTGTTCATTCTGATTTTGGCACAGCCAGATTTGGGAACTAGGGCCTAAGTCTGTGATTTCACATAACTTGCTGCGTGTGTATGTGTAGGATGAAGTGGGAGAGAGGTTTGGACGGCAGGAAGGCTAAGTACTGAATCAGTGAAACCTATTAGGCTTTTAAGTGTCTTCAGTGTTGGGATCCCATGTGTGTTTTCAAGACAAGCTTTCTGCTAACAAATTCTTCAGCAGTCACTTTTATAGAATATGAACATTAATAATTAATATTCAGATGCTTAATTAATGATAGAGTATATTGTATTCATATACCTTATGAAATTGTATTTCAAAGACCTTATCAAAGAAGGAAATCTTAACACTCTTAGGAGTAAGAACAAAGAATTTTATCGAGGAACAACAATTTGTGTTAGATAGCACAAAGTGAAAGAGTGCGTCATTCTGAAAAAGGGCACAGTTTTTATGCCTGGTGATCAATGTAAACAACACCACAGACATTTAAGAAAAAACACAGTTCTTCCCCATGTTGGCCAATTTACTTCTTGACATACATTCCCTGATAGTAGTTTGGGTAAGCTAATTTCAAGAATATTTTCCTTGTATTCTCCTGGAACATTCTTTGTACGTATGTTACAGAAAATCTACTTCCTTATCTCCTCCCTTGTTTGCCCAAGAGTGGTTTGTGTTAACTCTTTATTAAGTGCCTGCTCCAAATGCCTCTGTACTTAAATTTTTGCTAGCATATCCCCCCCCCCCCCGGCCGCTTTTGATTGAACTACACCTTGGGGGTGCTGATGACCTACAATTGAGTATCCTTTCTTCTTCAAGGACTTGGTCTGCTTTCCTGAAGATCTTTGGTCAATAGGAATTATTTTCTTCACCTTGATGAACTATTAGACTTTGTCTTCAGGGTGAGTGGATCTTTATTGGGATTATGGCAGTAGGCAAGGCCAAATGGGAAGAGCATATTCAGAATGAACTCAGGCAACTAAAGATCAACATGAAACAGTCAGGGAAACAAGGTGGATCCTCTTCATTAGTCTAAATATTGGTAATAGCTTTAAGAATAGAGCTCAGAGTAAAAGGAGGTACACACATAATATTGTAAAAAGTCCAAAATTAGGTTTGTTCCGAGGAATCAGCTTCTTTGAAATACATTACTCTGTGAGTGGAGGTTCAGTTTGGTTTAACATTAGATAAACATTTCATACATTTGATTAATCCTGCAAAAAATTAGTTACATTCCACCATTTCTGAAGGTAGCATATGATCAAGAACCGATGATATTGAAGGAAGAAGTCTAAGCTTCACTGAAGGCATTAGCAAAAAAAACAAGCTTCCAGGAATTGACAGAATACCAATTAAGATGTTTTAGCAAACAGATGTAAATGCTGGAAGGGCTTACTTGCCTATGCTAAGAAATTTTGAGGAGCTCTGGTAGCATAGTGGCTAAGGCACTTGACTGCTAGCCAGAAGGCTGGTGGTCCAAACCCATCAGCAAACTCCTCAGAAGGAAGGTTGGGTGATCTACTTTCATAGTGATACTGCATCAGAAACCCAAGGAAGGGTCGCTATGAGTCAGATCTGACTCGATGGCACACAACAACAACAACAACAACAAGAAATTTGGAAGACAACTACCTAGCCACCCAACAGCAAGAGATCCATGTTTGTGCCTATTCCATAGAAAGATGATCCAACAGAATGCATCAATTACTAAACAATATCATTAAGATCATATAGTAAAGTTTTACTGAAGATAATTAAAAAATGCCTCCAGCAATACATAAACAGGGAATTGCCAGAAATTCAAGCCAGATTCAGAAAGAGAACGTGGAATGAGGGATATTGGTGATGTGAGGTGGATCTTGGCTGAGAGCAGAGAATACCAGAAGGTTTTTAGTGGTTATGCAGAAGCATTCATTTTATTGTGTGAGTCATAACAAATTATGTCTAATATTTTGAAGAACAGGAATTCTAGGAACTTAATTGTGCTCATGCAGAATCTGTACATAGACCAGAGGCAGTCATTTGAACAGAACAAGGCGATACTGCATGGTTTAAAATCAGGAAAAATGTATGTCAAGGGTATATCCTTTCACTATACTTATTCAGTCTGTATGCTGAGCACATTATCTGGGAAGGTAGAGTGTATGAAGAAGAACATGACATTAGAGTTGGTGGAAGGCTCATTAACACAGGTGACACAACTTTGCTTGCTGAAAGTGAAGAAGACTTGAAGCACTTACTGATAAAGATCAAAGACTACAGCTTTCAGTGTGGATTACATTTCAGCATAAAGAAAACAGTAATTCTCACATCTGGAACAGTAAGGAATATCATGATAAATAGAGAAAAGAATTGAAGATACCAAGGATTTCCTTTTACTTGGAGCCACAATCAGTGACCATGGAAACAGCAACCAAGAAATCAAAAGATGGATTGTACTGGGCAAATCTGCTAAAAAAAATTCCTCTATAATATATTAAAGACCAAAGATGCCACTTTGAAGACTTAGATGCAGCCAGCTTTGATGTTTTCATCCCCTTCATATGCATGTGAAAGCTGGACAATAAATATGGATGACTGAGGAAGAATTGATGCCTTTGAATTAAGATGTTGGCAAAGAATAGTGAATATAGTATTCACTGCTAGAAGAATGAACAAATTTGTGTTGAAATAAGTACAGCCAGAGTGCTCCTTAGAAGTGAGGATGGCAAGTCTTAGGAGAGGCCAGTCCCTGGAGAAGGGCATCATACTTGGTAAAGTAGAGGGTCAGCAAAGCAAAAAATAGGAACACCCTCAATGAGATGGCTTGCCATAGTAACCCCAACAGTGGGCTCAATAATGATAATGATTGTGAGCATGGCAAAGGACAGTGTTTTGTTTTGTACATGGGGTCTCTATGAGTAAGAACTGACTCATTGGCACCTAACAACAACAGTAAAGATCAATAAAGAAATTTGAAAAATTAAACCAGTTTGTAATATGGAAAGTAGCCAGGAACCAATACCATTGGGTATCCAACTAAAGATACCTAGACAGGTAGAGTCATTCATAGGAGATTGAATGCAGGCAAGTAGCTTTTTGAAATTTTGCTGATGTCTTGTACTTCTCCAATGGTGTTTATCCAAGTACAGTAGGAAATATTGGCAATAACACAAACCCCTTCTTGCTGGGCTAGAAGGAAATCAAGAGCTATTATGTTGTCTATTACCACCTCAGAAGACATTCTAAACATCTTTATTGAACAGCCATTCTGTCTGCAACACCATTTGCTGTCTGAGCCAGGGACCCAGATAATTTGCGAATGGATTTCTCAGGTTGGGGATACCATAGTTGGATACAATACACATGTGAACACTTATCCCATTCCAGGTATATCAGCTGTTGGATTGTGGTCTGACATAGCACCCTTGTTTTATTCATTCTTTCTCTCTCTCTCTCTCTTTCTATCTTACCTATCTATCTTAAGAGCTTGTTTTACATTCATTGTTACATGTACATTTAGTTTCACTCCCCATTTACCATGTCCAACCCTAACCCAGCCTCCTCCACACCCTACCTTGTAACCCTCCCCCTGTGCCCCTCATATGTATG